AGGGATATGGGGAGGGGGTACAGGGGGGTCCTTTCATGAGTATATACCTGATCACACTCTTACACCCATGACGCAACATGTGACAAATACTCGTTTTACCTCAATAGGGAATTTTCCTCTTAACATCTCTGATTAAATAATTGCGTTGATGCTATAATGGTTTGCGTGACATAAAGGTGTAGATCTTGTTACAGTAATATACACGTGTTTATACATCAAATAATCCCGTATACCTCAAATCTAGTCAGGTAAAGCGATTTGTGAACTATTGATTGAAAAAAGCTTATTGAATGAAATGTTATGACAGTTGAAGTAATGTGGCATTGAAAAGGATCAACATCTGTGTAATATAGAAATATAATTACATTTGAGGTATTGGCAATAAAAATTGGATATGAAAATACAGAAATGCTTTGAATATCGCGAAAGTTAATTTTCCATGAGAAGTTTTCAAACAGAACAGACCACCGTGAAAGCTATAGTTGTTGCTGATAGTTATTCTTCATATTAACAGACTTATATCCTGATCAAAACTCTCCTCACATTAAATTGATACCTATATCTGAAGTATGTGATCTTCACGCGTATCGTGTTTACAAAGCATTTACATAGTGTACTACGGTTCCCGTGTTGTGTATGAAATTTTCAAAAGACACACAACATCTATCCCTGTGTCTGTGATAGATGCAGATCAGAAATGCTCTCATTATGTATAATTAACATTGGATTATCATTATCTGTATTATATCTAATACATACACACGTACAAAGATCCCGATTTAAAACACCAAATGAACAGGGAAGACAATATGAACCAGTATGCATTCACAGTCTCACTTGTAAAATGATAATGTATCATGAATTCCTTTTTAACGGATATGAATTTAATTGAGCTCGAGTAATACCATACCACGAATTAAAACCAATATCTGCTGGGATAAATTCATTTTAATGATAGCCTGCAATAGAAAAAAATATTCCTGTTTAGCTGCGATTGTTTAACAAAGATATTTTTAGCTTATATATAATAGAAATATTTTATTGTGTCTAGCTATGATACAGATGCTGTGTTTTGCTGATAGAGAACTTTCACTATTACGCTGTGTAACATATATTTATTATGTTCAGGTGTGACAGAAAAATCACTGTTTTGTTGTAATAGTTATATTTTACTGTGTCTATATGTGACAGAGATATTTTATTGAGTTAAGCGGTGATACTGATGTGCATAATGTTTAGTTGTAATAGAGAAATTTCATTGTTTTGATGTGATAAAGTACGGTACTGTGTTAAGCTGAGATACAGATATGTGTTAAGTGTTAGTAATATGCTATCAGATTATTCACAATAAATATAGAATGTTATATGCGTAATACATTTTATCTGAGATTTGCCGGCGACTGCCCGGAACTGGTTAACTCTGTGACACAGAGCAGTGTGATGGCTGCCTCATTTAACGTAATGATCACGCTAACAAACTGATCAGCTGTATTGATTATACGTGGAAACCCATGTCACCGTTACCAGAGCTCTTAATTATTTTCCAATTTGTATTGGAATTTATTTATAAATGAGGAAATATTTTACAGTTGGATAATTCAAGAGGACGAAATATACCCTATTTGATCATGCAGATTATCATTTATAGGCAATAAATTGTTAAATGTTTAAAATCGTATATACAAAACATGACCAAATAAATCATATTCTCCAAGTTGATTTATAAAGTGAGAATTACTTTTTTTGTAAATCTATTTTGATTTTTTGCAAACCTTTGGAAGTCGTAACATTTGACACATTCTTCATTTTTTTAATTATTTGTAACACAATATGATGTAATAAGGAGAATGTCAAATATTACGAAAATTAGAAAAACCCTATGCCGCCTAAAAATACGTAAAGCATGATAGTTCAAGAAAATATTTTATTGCACGAAAAAGAGGTGGAACTTTATAACTTGTAAATCAAGTAAGCTTCGTCCAAATCTCCATAAAATACATATGTTAACTAAAAGCTAACTAGATATTCTGTATAGTTTTGTTTACCGATGCTAGTTTCTTACAGAAATACATTTAACATATAGTATCTGATTTAATTATCTAAATAATCTTTCATATTGTTACTTTTACGTTGGGCACATACTCAACACCTTCAGTTTCGGTTATTTAAAATTAACAAAATAATTACAAAATGTCAAACACAGCCAACGTTAAAGGTAATTGAAATTCAACAGAGTGGAGAACTAACCATCGTATTTAGGTAAAGTGTTGGTATTCAGAAGTCATTTGTTGAAAACCGCAAGCTTCAGGCGTTAGAGGCATTGTTTTGATTTACTGTGAAAACCAGAATGTTTGTGGAAGTGAGGAATGTTTCCCGTGACAAACCTCACGGCCACCTTCTGTATGGGGATGTTTTCTCTAGATTTTACAAGTCGACGAATGTGATACGGGTTTTCTGTCAATGATATGTCACTATAGAGTGGGCGCTGGCTGTTTATCTGATGGAGATCCCGGGGAACTTGTTAACAATGTACCCAATCCCGCTGTCAGTTCTCTTCTTGAATGTCAAAACTTTGCTGTTCATGACCCTGTCTTATGGAGCTTCATTAGAGATAAGTTAAGGTAAATTTCAAATTGAATATATTGGAATAATATATCTTCAGTACTATGAATAAAATTATGTATGTGACGATAACGATAATTGCGAATTTCAATTGCAATAATTATTACTGTAGATAGATTACTTATGTTTATGAAAATTGATTCAAAAGAGTGCAGGGTTAAATTTCTTATTAAAACGTTGCATCAAAGTCAATCGTTTAAATTTGTATTTATAGAAAAAAATACGGTTTAATTTAATATCTTTATTTTAAAATTATTATGATATTACCATGAAAAATAAATTTATTTAATTGTAAAAAACGATGGTTTCATAGTTCATACTTGAAGAAAGCATCAGAACTAATCCTTGCTAAAGAAGATTGAGAAAAACAGTGGCACGTTATTACCTAAAGACACAGTAAGTAAAGTGTTCACACTAGTTTTCTTCAAACATATTGCAATAATTATGTCATGGAGTTCGTTTGATAACGTTTCTTTTTAATCAGCGAGAAGATATCATTTTTCCGTTTTGTAATCTGTGAAAATATTCGTTAATTTCAGATTTGTTAATGAAGAAATTTATAAAAATGCCCTTTCGATCAACTAAGTTATGGCGATTGTACAAATGAATGTTTGACAGAATTATGTCTAGTGTAAAGGTCTAATTGATATCTACACATCTTTGTTTCTATGACAATGTCTACTGGGAACATTTTGTAAAGCTAATTATAAAGTTTCTGTTCTAGTCTTTGTAAATGAAGTGAATTAATCCGGATATAGGCTGAGTTCTAATATATCAAAAGTATAGATGTATTGAACAAATCATCTTCCGATTCCCTATAAATCTGATCAGATTAACTAACAGTAGAAGGTAACATCTTTAGTAAGTTATATCAATGTTTAAGTGCAGGTGCATTATTTAATTTTGTTGTATAACAATGCAATAATCGGTATGTTACTTTTATCCAACTGCTTAATTAATAAATTGACAGTTTGTATTTTCTTTAAATAAAACTGTAACACATTTATACTATTTGTATAACAACGGAACATTTTGTATCTTACTTTGATCACGATACTTAATTTACAAATTGACACTTTGTAATTTGCTTATATAGAAATGCAACACTGTCATTGTATTTATAGAATAATGTAACATTCTGTAAGTTTATATTGTAGTTTATAAATATACAAAAGGCTATATTGTTATTTTCATAAAGATAAAATACAAAATATTTGCAAACGATATTTAACATAGTTGGTTTTGAATAAAATTTTATCTTGTATATATTTTATATTAGGAAATAAGATAGTTGTCTTCATTTCCAAGAATGGTGATAATAAGATGGAAGATATCGTTTATGTTAGAGCAAATGAACATCTATTGTTATGAAGTGGATAAAGAGTGTTGCTCTTCATTTACCAAAATACCTATCAGTTGCACTGCACTGTCTGTCCGATCACTCAAGGTTCATTTGATACCAAACTTGCAGGAGTGTTTAGACATTTTGGACATACTCTCCGAAATACTGAAATAACTGAAGCTAGTTAAAATTATAATCGATACAGATGGATTTTGTCTAAATATCTCGGGTGAAATACAAATAAAGTACTTATGCCTTGCTTCTTAGTTATATTAATGTGATTAAAAAATGTATTCAACTTGACTTCCTTAATATGATTTAAAACTTGATGTACATAGAACAACAATAAGATTTTGAAGGAATATTTTACGACGGATATTTAAATAATTCTTGTATCTGATACTCAAATAAGGAACAAATGTGTGATACAGCTATGCGAATGTTTGCAATATAATTGCTGTTTATTTGTATATTTGTAAAAAAGATATAAGAAATAATAAAAAGATACAGAATAAATATTTTTTATTCTGTGAATTTTTATAAGAAACGTTTACTATGGGGTAATACGATTCGGTTATCAAATATAACAAATGTCATGTTATTACTTAAGAACATCCATCGAACAGCAATAGGAAGGTCGAAACTGAACAGACCTTTAGATAAATATTTTTCGAAATGTGAAAAAGAAAGAATAATCATAAACATAATCCAAACAAATAAATTGTTACAAGTTGTAATGCAAATTTTAGCATAGCAGCTAATCTTTCTACTGGCAATAATTTTGTTTTTGATTTGGTCTTACATTGAGTCGGATAACTTCTGGAGAATTTAAGTCATTATTTTACAAGAGTAAGCAGCACATTTTCAATTTTAAACTCATCTGTACCTTTCATTACAAATAAATACAACAATTTTACTTTCGTTTCTGCTTTTCTTAAAGCTATATGAAAGGTCTGAAACCTAAAATTAGCATATCCATTTCCTTAAAACAAAGCAAAATAACTAAAGATCATTAAAAAATTAACAAACGTAAATGTAAGAATCAGAATGATTTATTTCGATATTGTTTGACTGTCTCTGAACATACATGATATAAAAACTAAGTCGTCCGTGTGTGGGTATGCTACCCTGGACCATACCTGTAAGGTTCGTCGTCACACGAGCACCATTCTCACAGCACAACATACCAATTAACAGGTACTAGCAACAGTCTGTCCATGACTCCCCTGGGGGACTGTCGTCGCACCAGGATGATACCACCACCTCGGTTATCTTAAAAAAACATTGTCAAATGATATTGCACAATTCATTGTAGAGGAAGTCAACACTACGATGTCCTGCCCACGTCATAAGGCGTTCTTTGAGAATGTACTGATGTATTTGAGAACATGTTTCGTACGAGTCCTGTGGATGTTTGGTGCAGCGTTCCGGGTGGGGAGGAGAACGCTGATCCCGGAGACACAGGTAATCCGTGAACCCCTTTGAAAAGACTAAGGTCTAATCCCCTAGTGTTTGAGTGTTCCTGGTCTGTGTGGGGTAGGGATAGCGGTGAATGGGTCGGATACCACTGGAAAGCCTGGCTACTCGTCTTTAAGGAAGTTGAACTAGCGGACATATTGGGTGATACACCCATGTCAAGTCCCAAGAGTCTGTCGACGGAGAAGTTTGTTGTTCGTCCTGCCGTTGTCCCTGGTACTGATGAGGATGTGGGTAACAGCCCTGTGTAGGGATAAAACTGGAACCCACCATACCGCAGGGCAGGAGACCCAGTGGTACCCCCTCCGAATGGATACAGGGACGAAAATGGCCACATGTACGAGCCGGGCTTACCTGCTGAACAGGCAAATGGGTAAACATGTGGTTGGATACCCGGAAAACCGGCCCTTTTTAATGCTGCTAACCGTGTCCTGGAAGCGGAAGTAGATCTTCGACGGAGTTTCCCCGTGGTTCCTCCAATGAATACGTCATCACAAGAAGGGTCCAGCATCCAGTAATTGCCCTTACCCGGGTCGTCATAGTGACGGGGGACTTTGACAAAACACTTGTTAAGACTTAAGTTGTGTCGGATAGAGTTCTGCCATCCTTGCTTATTGTCTTTGTAGTATGGAAAGTTCTTCATGATAAATTCGTATATTCCATTCAGTGTTAGCCTTTTCTCTGGACTGCTTCGAATAGCCATCATAATTAAAGCGTTATAACTAAACGGCGGTTTTTCAGACTTCTTTCCATCACCATTTAGCGTCTTGTTATTGTTTCCGTCAGGTTTGGAGTCGGAAGGTTTTTTAGCTGGTGCACGATTCTCTATGTTGTCATCACTAGAAATGTTTTTATTGTCAAGTGTTGGTGTCAGTCTAGCACTTGGTTCTTTTTCACAAAAGTCAGAATTTTCTAAATCTGAGTCGTACGCTTCGACATCAACATTCGTTTGGTCCTCCTCAACAGATATACAGGATGCCACTGATTCTGGACTCTCGGCGCTGTCCGGATACCTGCTGCTGTAATCTGGTGAGGAACTCGGAAAGTCTTCTCCAAGAACTCTGCTAATGCTGAAAGACGGTCGACTCCTATGGAGCTGAAAGTCGGGAGAGGTTCCCAGCTGGACCATGGTCGGTACTGCTCCTATGGTTGGTGTATGTGTGCTCTTGATAACGGGTACACTGGTAATGTGAACAAGTTGTCAAACTTTCGCCACTTTTATCAAATGACAACAAGCATCACCTTCGACCATAACACTATCCCTAATGATGTACGGCCGAGTGTCAATATCAATGTGTACACACGCCCACCGCGAACGGTTGAACCAATGATAAATCTACTACAATGAAAAAGCTCCGCCCGCTTAGCGCCACGCCCCCAATGAATCGTAAAGATGTTTTGTCGTGCCCGCAGCTGTTCGCTCGTTGCTTTGCTGGCCATTGTAATTTAGCATCAATTAATTTGTCCGTCACAAAGCTTAATAATGTTTTCGGCTTAGAGCGTTAACTTGGACCGTATGAGAGGCAGTCCCGAGTTGTCAGTGTAGTTGATAACGTAGAGCCTATTTGCTGAGGTATTATACGGTATAGAAAACATGTCAACGGAACGATGCACCGTTCATTTAAGAAAAATATCGATAAAGTTTTGATTACTTATACGCACTGCAACTCTTAGTAAAACGATACAAAGTTATAATGTTTTATTGAAGTGATACTGATATAGTATTCCCAGGGTAACGTTTAAAAGTCCGATGTATTTGTATATCTAATAAAATGTCTTTTATACATTTTTAAAACCCCGTCGATTCGTCTTAAATATTTCGACAAATGCTATCTTAATTTAAATTACATGCTTATTTTGCTACTTTTATCTATTTCGGTGATAAAATAGTCATTTACTAAAATATATGCGCTATCAAAAATAAATACACCCGAAATACGTATATTTCGATATGCATTATTTACGTCTATTGAATAAAATAAAATTGTTTGTATTCAGTAAAAAGTTATTTATCAACACCATCGACAGAAAAGTGTTCTTTACTTTAAAATAAGATTTTACGTGTATATTAAAATAAGTTGTTGAGATCGTGAAAAACAGCGTTACAAACAGTTTGGACATTTTACATCTTTCTCGGCAACTATTTGGTCTGAACACATAGTGACATTGGTACGTGCGTTACGCGTGAGATCGGATGATTGGAGGGAGGGAGTCGGGGCGGGAGGGGGTAGCCCAGTCTGGACTGTATCATACAAGCACACGATGAGAATGTATCGAACTCCTTGATACACAAAATCCGGATATTCTAGAGTAAATATTTAGGTTTTTTATTTTGAAAGTATAAACTTACCACCCAAGCCGAGCGGTTGGTCCCGCCTGGTCAGGTGGCTGTGAGAGACCATATGTATATACTCAGCACTTAGAATACCGGGCTTCCACAGGGACAAACTTCACCTTAATAGAGATGCATGGCTCCTTGGGGGCTATAACGACATAAGGGATGGCATGTATACGACCTGGAACGATAATTTAAATATTTCATGCGATCATTAAAACAAGAGGTGTCCCAATCTGCTATTCATATCTTGTATAAATATTATTCATCTGTTTTGAGGCTATGTGGGAGCTCAGCATCGATTTAATATATAAAAGTGAAAATCTGTAGGGCGGAAATAATGTGAGGGGAATAACTAAGATACCGCTTTTGGTCACTTGCTTAAATGTAATGTGAATTCATGCATGTTTTGAAGATTCTTTTTTTAGTTCAAAACGCATCCGTATTTGACTAAATAGGTATACATATTGCAACAAAAAAATAAATAGATACTGTCTCACAAACAGGTATACCTATTGCCACGAAAACAGAAATAGATACTGTCTCACAAACAGGTATACCTATTGCCACACAAACAGTTTTATTTATTGCCACACAAACAGTTACAAATATTGCCACACAAACAGTTATATATATTGCCACACAAACTGTTACAAATATTGCCACACAAAAATTTATAGAAACTGCCACACAAACATTTATGGATACTGCCACAAATATAGTTACAAATATTGCCACACAAACAGTTACAGAAACTGCCAGACAAACATTTATAGATATTGCCACACAAACAGTTATATAAATTGCCACATCACCATAGATGATGCCACACAAACAGTTATCTATATTGCCACACAAACAGTTATAGATATTGCCACACAAACGGTTATATATACTGCCCCATAAACAGTTATATATATATTGCCACACAAACAGTTACAGAAACTGCCATTTTTTTCATAGATACTGCCACAGAATAGAAAATACTTCTTTCGATAGTTATACGACACAACTTATGCAAAATGAGACTAAAAACAATGCAATTTATATACTGTTATTTTAACAGATGAGACAGAATACGATAAAACCGTTGTTTTAATAGATAAAACAGTTACTAGTTAACGATACAACTTAAATACCGTTGTTTTAATAGATGAAATAGTTACTAGTATACGATACAACTTATATACCATTGTTTTGATAGATGAAACAGTTACTAGTATAACATACAAATTATATACCGTTGTTTTAATAGATGAAACAGTTACTAGTATACGATACAACTTATATACCGTTGTTTTGATAGATGAAACAGTTACTAGTTTACGATACAACTTATATACCGTTGTTTTAATAGATGAAACAGTTACTGGTATACGATACAACTTATATACCGTTGTTTTGATAGATGAAACATTTACTAGTATACGATACAACTTATATACCGTTGTTTTGATAGATGAAACAGTTACTAGTATACGATACAACTTATA